TGTAGCTGCAGCGCTGCTAGAAAGGACCAACATCGACAAGGGCCTGTCACAGGTTGCTCTCGATACCGCAGAGACTAACGCTACCTCACCTACTCTCGCCCCTCCCTCATCCCCGAACACTCAGGTTTGGCTGGATCGTCTTTTTCTTCTCTTCAGCTCTGACCCTGCTCGTGCTCGTCCTAAGCTTCATTCCCATCCTGCTCGGTTTCTGGTGCGTGTCAGACCTGTCCAAAAGAGCCCCGCTCATGTGCGTAGGTGTCATGGCTCAAGGCAGCTCACCCTTTTCCCCCCCTTCCCCCCAATTCCCAACTCGTCCCAACCCGTCCCCGTTCCCATCCCGCTCTTCGTCCGACGCTACCAAACATCCAACAGGTGGCTCTTTCTAGCTCTCTTCATCTACATTCAGATCAAACGAGGAGGAGGAGGAGGAGGAGGAGGCGCAGCAGCGTCAAGCACCGGATCGAGCGCACAGACCTTCTCTCAGGCTGCCAAAGACGCTTGGAAAAAGTTGCCTTCCTTGACGGGCTCTGGAGAGGGCAGGATCAGGCTTTGAATCGGATCGGCCTTTTAGGAGTCTCGCGCACAAGAAGTCGTCAAGGAGGATCCGTCGGATGTGGAAGAGGCATACAAGAACCCCGCAGCGCTAGCGGCCCTGTTCGTCAGCTCCCCTCCCGGCCCCCTGCTGCTCCTTTTGATGACGAAGCGCATCAATGAGGCTCGACGCAATGAAGGCGCCCGACTCCCCATTGCGAGGGTGGCCCGCCCCGAAGAGACTGTCTCATCTTGTCCAAGTCCTGCTACAACGCCTTCCAGCTCCGTGTGCGAGCAGCAGCTCAATGCGCACGCATGCCGACACCCCAGTGATCACTTTGTCGAACCTCGCGTATATGATGCGTCGATCGTGAGAAAGAGGATGAGTGACAATTACGTGAAATGGGCGATGACAATGAGTGCGAGGTGGTGATGATGGTGTAGGTGGAGATTGGCTTTGTACACGTACGGTATACCCGAGAATCGTAGGTGCGAATGCGAGCAGAAAGAGAGGGGGAAAAAAAAAAA